GTGGAGCTGGGAGCAGACCTCACCGGGGTGTCCCCCCTTTCCCCCCTGCTCCCCCAGCTCCCACTGCTCCCCTTGCTCCCCCAGCTGGAAACGGCTCGCCCCAAGTCGTCCCCCCGGGCTCAGAGGCTCAGTGTAGACGTTGGTTTGGCGTCGGGGAGACATCGGTGACTTGTCGGAAGTTGCCATTGATGGACCGCGACACCCCTTCCCCTGATTTTGTCTCCTGCGTTTTTCATCATTGAGGAATGTCCGCAGATCGCGTTACAAGCGGGTTTTGAGAGTCACAGTGCAGCCGCCCGAGGTAGAGGGAATGCAGACTTTCCGAGTTTGGCCAGCAAAGTGGTGACCATTTTTGAGGCGACACCCTGAGACCCTGGAGCGCAGCGTCTCGGCCTCCTGGGGCTCGGGCGCCCGGAGACGATGCGACCCCAGCGAGGCCTGGCCCCAGAGTCTGCAGAGCAGCGTGGCTACAGGTCCGGTCGGGTGAGGGCCTGGCCTCCTGGGCCGAAATGTGCGGGTGGCTTTGTTTCCACGGCTCTCCGCGGCCCAGCCCCTCTCTGGCTGCCTCCTTCCCTCCGAGCTGAGCTGGTCCAGCCCGGACTTGACACCGGGGACGCTTGGGACAGCCCTGGGCTCACCTCCGAGCGGAGCCTAGACGAGCTCCCCAAACCCTTCCCTGCGGCCTCCGCACGGGTGGGCTCCTGGCAGGTCGCTTGGTGTCCAGCCCCCTTTGGGGGTCTCAGGGAGTGACCACCGGAGATTGGCAAGTAGTCCGCACCAAGGACAGGACATTTTGGGCTCTTTTAAAAATAGCCGGCTCTGTCTTTACATTTAAAAATGGCTTTAAAACCTTCCTCTAATTTTGAGACAAGCATTTTTTTGTTAGAACTGATTTCAGGAAAAGAATATTTATGTGCATGCTGCCAAACATCTGGATGATAGTGGAATTTTTCCATTTTGTTTCACTGTCTGCTTTTAAGACATTACAATCTAAATAAAAAGCAAAAAGACTGTGGTTTTGGTGTTTAAACAAATTTATAACCTGTTTTCAATCGATTAGTCAATTTTAAAGGGAATTTTAGAGCTAGAAGAGACTCTTGAGGTCATTTAAGCGGATTCTGTGTTTTACAAATGAAAAACTGGACGTAGGCCCAGAAGTTTAAATGACCGCCTCAGGCCCCGAAGCCCGGGCTGAGCCAAGAGCAGACCCCGAGGCCCTCACTGCTGGCTGTTGAATCCCTTCCACTTGACCCGGGGCCGCTGCGAGCCGGTGGTGGGGGACGGGGCAGGGTGACCTCCGAGTGCTAGAACGTTACCCCTGTCACCCTGACACCGCGCCACAGAGGGTTCCAGGAATTCCTCAAAAAAGGACATTTGTAACGGTGGATGTTTTCTTTTGAGCTGTTTAATATTTTTTTCCTTTAAAATTGAGTTAACTCACCTATATATTTTAGTGGATTTTAAAATGAGCAAATAATATTTTTCAGCATTACAAAGGAAACATCATAATGTAAACCTCCTAGAGAATTAAGTCCCATAGAAATTATGTGTTTTTTGGAGCAAATTATCAGAGTTCTCCGAACTCAGAATCATAAACATTGACTTAAGTCTGATTTTTTCCATAGAGAAAAATCTTAGGTCTAGTTCAGGATTCTATTAATGACCTCATACTGTCTGTAAGTGTTCGAAATTTTAAAATATTGAATAGCTTGACTGAAAGGAGATCAAACTTTTTAAAAAAAAAATTATTGAATTTTTACAGAGAGGAAGAGAGAGGGATAGCGAGTTAGAAACATCAATGAGAGAAACATCGATCAGCTGCCTCCTGCACACCTACTGGGGTTGTGCCCACACCAAGGCACATGCCCTTGACCCGAGTTGAACCTGGGACCTTTCAGTCCGCAGGCCGACGATCTATCCACTGAGCCAAACCGGTTAGGGCGAGATCAAACTTTTTATGTTGAATGTGTGTCTTTCCACTTCTCCCTCCATTCACCCCAAGATTCTGATACTTTGCTCTTTGCTCTGAAAGTCACTGGTCTAATCAAAGTAGATTCTGGAGTAAAGCGAATGGAGAAAATCGCGTTTTTCACCATTTGATTTTATTCTCTTGGGATTATGGATCCTATTTTCTTTCCACTTGGTTTTCAGAGCAATCTGCTAACTTCGTGTTGGCCCTTGAAATGCATGACAGTCATATAAGCAAGTATGACTTGACCAAAACCACTGGCAGGGGATACACCTTTTAAAGCCTGCAGGTGTGGTTTTCTGTGTTCCCCTCAGAGAGCGTAAGAACGTCTTAACATTCTAGGCCAGCCGTGGGCAAACTACGGCCCGCGGGCCGGATCTGGCCCGTTTGAAATGAATAAAACGAAAAAAAAAAAAGACCGTACCCTTTTATGTAATGAGGTTTACTTTGAATTTATATTAGTTCACACAGACACTCTATCCATGCTTTTGTTCTGGCCCTCCGGTCCAGTTTAAGAACCCATTGTGGCCCTCGAGTCAAAAAGTTTGCCCACCCCTGGGTTAGACCCAGAGAAGAGCACCTGTCAGTGTAATGCCTCCCGGGGAATGCCGGGAGCTTCAATGCCGCTGTCGGCATGAAAAGTGACCGATAGGCTCTTGTGGCGGCATTGTGGACAGCTGCTTGTTGCATAGTAACTCACAGGAGTTCCAAAGCCAGATTTCTGTTGTATTTTGCACCTTTTTTTGAGGTTTAGAATTTGGGTAACATTTATATTCTCTTTAGTCCCCAGGCTGATGCTCTTATCATCGGCTAGGGCTATGTTCTCTTCTCCCAAAGTGTTTAGCCTTAGTTTAGAACAGATTCTTGTGGAATCTTTCATTCATAATCCTGACATTTTTCCATTGCTTTAGACAAGTGTAACAAACTAACCTCATGAGCAGGTTTGACTTTTCCATTAGAACATTTTTCAGGGCCACTCCATTTGAAAATCACTTTGCTGCTCTTCTAAGTCTTCCTCGCATGGATTGGACCCCTTGTGAAAGTTGTTCAGTGACTCTGCCTGCTTCCTTTGCTGGTTTAGATACCTTTTCAGAGCTGCATGGTCTTGCTTTATAAGCCATAAGGTATATAGTAAAAGCGCTCAATAAAGCCCACATGTAAACAGTAAAAGGAACTGGCAGAAGAACACACATTATTTTCTTTTGTAAATACCCTTGTGAACTTGTAAAGTGATTGTGTTTGTTTTATTCCAGTTGGGTCTTTGTCTTCTGAGGATCATGATTTTGACCCCACGGCTGAGATGTTGGTCCATGACTATGATGACGAAAGAACTCTTGAAGAAGAGGAGATGATGGACGAGGGTAAAAACTTCAGCTCTGAAATTGAAGACTTAGAAAAGGTAAAGGATGGTACTTAATATTTTAATACAAACTTTCAGCAAAGACTTTGAAATTCTATTGTAAATTATTTTACAATCTGTTTTTGATCTAACTTTTATAGAATGTCACTGATTTCCTCATTATTTTGGAGGATAGCCTAATAAGTATATTTTTATTTAATTTTTCAAAATTATTTTACATCTGCTAAGTGTACACCAGCCCAGTGAAGGAGGTACCTGGTGATGGCACAGGTGGGCTCCTGGTAGTCAGGTGTAGGCCCTGGGCTTAGTTTTGAATCTTAGCCCAGCCTCCGTGCATTAGACCGCACTGTTCTGAGGGTCCAGCTTGCGTTTACCTGCAGGAGATACAGGGAGAGGTCTTCTCCAGATTACTGACAGTCTGTGGAATACTCTTAAGAAAATTAAAAGAGAAAAAGTTCTGCTCTGTTTTAAAATGTAAGTTAGTAATATCTCATTTTCTACCCCCCAGTTGTCTTTTAAAAAATTGACAGGAGTAAATGTAGTTTATAACTTTTTAGATCCAAAATCAATATAAATTCAAAGGAACTGGATTTTAAGTCACATACTTATAGCAGGACTACAGAGAGGCCAACCCTAGGAGTCACCTTGAAAAAATGTAGGATTATACTTATCTATAAATTAACCCAATTTGCAAGTTTCCAATCAGCCCAGAATAACAAAACCTTTCAGAAATACTATTAAGTACAATAATAATCTTTTGAGGGTTTTTTAATTTTATTTTTTTGTAATCCTCACCCGAGGATATTTTTCCATGGATTTGTTTTTGTTTGTTTGTTTTTGTTTTGTTTTAGGGAGAGTGGAAGAGAGAGGGAAAGACAGAGAAAAATATCAGTGTGAGAGAAACACATCAATTGGTTGCCTCCGACCAGGGTTAGGGCCCGAGGAGCTTGCAACCAAGGTACATGCCCTTGATGAGGCTCGAACCTGGGACCCTTTTGGTCCACAGGCCGGTGACGCTCTATCCACTGAGCAACCGGCCAAGGCTCTTACCAGAGTTTTGAAAGGCTTAGTTAAGAATACCTGCAAGTCTCTATCCACTGAGCCAAACCGGCCAGGGGTAATCTTTTGAGTTTCCATACCCTTTTTTCTTGTTTGGCATCTTCAGCGTGCCCCTGAGGCTGTAAGCAGCAGAAGGGCAAGACCTTGCTGTGTCCCCACGCTGGGCACAGGGCCTCTTGGTGCAGGCCCTGCTCGGGCAGTGTCTGGTGACACCACGAGTCCCTGGGACACAGCCTGCCTGTCAGTACTCCTGTCTCAGGGCGGAGCTCAGCCTTTCCTTACCCTGTGTGGGGTCTCCCTGCCCCATACCATCCTTCCTGGGCGTTGGTCTTCCTGTACCCACAGTTTGTTTGACAGATTAGTGCATGAATAGATTGTTTTAAAGTTATTTATTTGAATAACTATAAGTAGTCCTATACACTTTAGTAGTTAAATTACCCTTGAACAATGTGGAGTTAGTAGCGCTGATCCCCACACAGTAGAAAATCCAATGTAACTTTTGATTCCCCAAAAACTTAACTAATAACCTACTCTTTTTTTTAAAGATATATTTTTACTGATTTCGGAGAGGAAGGGAGAGGGATAGAAACATCAGTGATGAGAGTCATTGATTGGCTGCCTCCGGGATTGAGCCCTCAACACAGGCATGTGCCCTTGGCTGGAATCAAACCTGGGACCCTTCAGTCCACAGGCCAATGCTCTGTCCACTGAACAACACCAGCTGGGGCACTAGTAACCTACTCTTGACCAGAAGCCGTAATGATAATACAAATAGCCAGTTAGCCCATATTATGTATGTGTTACACACTGTATTCTTATAACAAAGTATGTTAGAGAAAGAAAACTATAAGGTTTGTCTGCAAGTTTCTAAAAAATTGTCACAAATCTCCAAAAAGTTTTTCCAGTATATATATTGGAAAAACCCACTTTTGGGCAGACCCATACCATTCAAGTTGTGCTTTAGACTCACATGGACACTACTCTCAGATGGGTCAGTGCGGGGACCAGGACTGGGGGCCACTGTGAGGCATGGCCAGAAAGAGTGATGAGAGTCATTGATTGGGGTCCTGGGGTTCGAACCAAGAGCAAAGCCTCAGTTTCTCATCTGTCAGATGGTGGTAATAATACAAATTTCACTGATGGTTCAGGAAAATGAAACCAAAACAGTTGGTACAGAAGATAGACAAGTAAATAGTAGGAACACGAAAGGGTCATTGTGTTTTGAACATTAATAATAAATATTGTTGGTGTTAGTAAATGTTCAGCAAAAGTTTCCCATCAGGGGTCTTATAATTAACATGCAGAATAAACCAAGTGGTAAACTGTCAGTTGCAAGGAAACAAGCAGAAAGTTACGTGAAGTGATTGATTGATTGGAAATGTTTTGAAGGCAGATCTTCGTACTGGTATGAAAGCTAGAGAAAAAAGTCTACAGATACTGGAGGAATTCCTTAAAAAGTGAAGTGGACCTGGAAATGGGAAGGAGATGCTAAGTGTCAGGCGTTTGTTAGCACGTTGACAATAGCGCTGGTGCTTGGGGCTGCTCTCTGGCAGCGGAACAAAGAGGAAAACTCCGTGGGCTGTGTCTCGATGCTCCTGGTGGTGGGCTTTAAGGACCTGTGGGGGCCAGTGGCGGGGACGGGCCCTGAGTTCCCTTTGCCCCGCCCGCCCGCCCAGGAAGGAAGCATGCCTCTGGAAGACCTACTGGCCTTCTACGGCTACGAGCCCGTGCTGCCCGCCGCGGTGGAGCCCAGTGCCCACAGCTCCCCGAGTGAACTTGCCGACGAGCTGCCAGACATGACACTGGACAAGGTAAGTACATCCCCCAGGAGGCAGTCCAGGCCCGTTGCCACCGACTCATGACCGTAACGCAGCGGAGTCCCTCATTCTGAAGTGGGAACTTCTCGCCCACTGCTCTCTTCACTCTGGTGACGGGTGTAAGTAGTTTGGCCTTGATCGCGCTACTTTGAAAGTAGTGGCTTCACAAGACTGCATGTTTCAGTGTTCGTCCGTGTTTCCCATCTTTCCTGTCGACACATCGTGCCTGAACTTAGGTTCTGTCCTAACCCTGTGGACCCTCCGAACACCTGAATGCCTTGATCAGTAAAGCCCCAGAAGCCTTCAGACCAAGCGGCGCAGGCGGGAGGGTGGGCGCGGAGTTCTGCGTGTTGGGCTCTGCGAGGGACAGCGGCTGAGCGGCCGAGGCTCGGTGACGCGTCTGCAGGCTGGTTGGGGAGGCCTGTCCGCTGAGGAGGATTCACACAGCCCCTGTCTCTGCTAACAGATCCCTGGGAAGCGTCCCTCGCCTTTCCGAGCTCAGGCAGGGAGAGGAATCCACATCTTGGAACCTCTTCCTGTGAGTGATGTTCCCCCTTTTCAGTCAAATGTGATATTCATGCCCCACAGACCTTAGTGGCCGCGCCCTCAGCCACACGGAGTGTCTGCTGTCACAGTACAAGTGACCACACTGCCTGCTGCTCCCCCTCGTGTCACTCGTCGGAGTGGACGTTGGCTGCCCCAGGCTGCTGAGGGGCTGAGGGGGCTTTCGGCTTTGTTTTGAAGTCACCCCTCAGTATCTGTTGGGGCGGGTGGGGGGGTTGGAGCTCGCCCCCACGAAGAGAAATACCCAGGGTGCTCAAGTCCCTTGTGTGGAATGCATCTCCATCACCCCAAGCTCTGCAGCCGTCTCCAGAGCACTTGTCAGACCCAACACTGGAAACTGCACAGAGTTGTGCTGGCTCGTTTGGGGGAAAATGACGCGAAAAAAGTCTGTGCGTGTTCAATACTGACAGCCTTGCAGGCAGTGCGCGTGCGCAACCCGGGACATTTTTTTTCCCAATCTTACTTTTATTTTTTATTCCCAAATGTTTTTGATCTGCAGTGGGTTGACTTATGGATGCGAAACCCTCAGATACTGAGGGCAGGCTACTATTTATTTATTTTCGCAGAAAGTGATTTTAATTGTTAACCACTTAGAAGTGAGATTATTTTTGTTTTAAAGTGACTAAAAACTAGTCTGCAGCTTCAGGTAAGGCAAATTGTTGTAAATGTATAGTTATTAATTAGGCCTAAGTCTTTAATGTTATTAAATATTTACATGACATAAATTACAGAATTTCAAATTCTCAAAACTAAGGGAGCTTCAACTCGTTCTTAATTGTACCATAATACCATAATAATGCTTATGAATAACGTTATAAAAAGACATTTTTAAAAATTGGGAGATGGGATTATCTCTAACTCCAGCACTGCATTCCGGTTCTTACAGGAGGAAATAGCAAAAGACCTGTTGTCGGGTGACGACGAGGAGACGCAGTCTTCCGCAGACGACCTGACGCCGTCTGTGACTTCCCACGAGGCTTCCGACTTCTTCCCGCGGCCTTTGCGCTGTAAGAAACCCTACTGACCACGAGTGGACGCTGCTCTAGCTGGAGTACATTTTACTGCCTTCAGTAGTTTGTCAGAATATTCTCAGTGTTTTACTTAATTGACATAAAATGCTATTATAATCTGAATAAGAATATAACTTTTTTTATTGGGATAGAGGTCAACTAATATTTTATTTAAAAAATCAAAACATTTGCCTAGTTTTGCAAGGCTGCTTGCTTTCCCAGATTCATCTGTTGCTCGGATTATCCTAGTTCAACCACGAACCTTGATAGGCATTCTTTGGACTTCAGTTAAGAAGCCCTTACTCTGTCAACAATAAAAAATTTAAATAAGAAATAAAATAGCCCTTACTCCCCTGGTTTTGAAAACTATCAGTTGCTCAAAAAGCAATTAAAAATATTTTTATTGATTTCAGAGAGGAAGGGGGGGGGGAAACATCAGTGATGAGAGAGAATCATTCGTCAGCCACCTCCCGCACATCCCCCACTGGAGATTGAGCCCACAACCTGGGCATGTGCCCCGACTGGGAATCAACCGTGACCCCCTGGTTCATAGGTCGATGCTCAGCCACTGAGCTACACCGGCCGGGCTAGCGTTTTTTATTTTTAGTGATTTATTTGCTCCTTTTCTTTCATTTCTTGTGTTATCCCTTAATATTTATCAGTAATATTTAGACGGTCTTTGAACAGGAGTAATTTCTTACGGGCAGCTTGCTTATTTCCCAAGTGCTCTGTGGGCGAGCCGTTCAGTTGACAAGCTGGGATACACGTGCACACTGTGCACAGATCTCCCTGACGGCCGAGGGTGCAGCTCCCATGGGCTCAGGCCATTCTGAGGTGGCCGCATGGTCGGCCTTGTGCCTCCCCAGGCGAGTGACTGGACACATGAAGCATGAGGGCGCTGTCCCTGCGGCAGCCGCTGCGGGGCTTGCTCTGATGTGTCAGAAATGGGAGAAGCTCAGAGGGTTAGGATAGTCTTGCTGATCTCAGTTATTCAGCAAATTTCAGTAAATTCCATGTGCCAGGCCCTCTTCCAAATGCTACAGAAATAGCCAATAAAAGCCTTTTTTGAAAGTTTAATTTTCTTTTTCTCAGCAAATACTACTTGTGATGGAGATAAAGAATCAGAGATTGAAGATGTTGAAACAGACAGTGGTAACTCACCTGAAGATTTGAGGAAGGTAAATTGAGTTACCATAACTTAGTGGGCTATTTGGATCAAAGTATTAAAGTAGCACTTTAAAACGTTTTTAAAAATATATGTTTTTATTGATTTCAGAGAGGAAGGGAGAGATAGAGATAGAAACATCAGTGGTGAGAGAGAATCATTGATTGGCTGCCTCCTGCAAACCCCCTACTGGGGATCGAGCCCACAACCCAGGCATGTGCCCTTGACCAGAATGAAAACCAGGACCCTTCAGTCTGCAGGCCAATGCTCTATCTACTGAGCGAAACCGGCCAGGGCTTAAAACATTTTAAAAATAATTTAAGAAATGTTGGCCCTGGCCAGTGTGATTCAGTTGGTTGAGCGTCGTCCTATACACCAAAAGGTTGAGGGTTCGGTTCCTGGTCAGGGCACATCCCAGGTTGCTGGTTCAGTTCTCAGTGTGGGTGTGTGCCGTCGGCAACCAGTCGATGTTGCCCTCTCATATCCATGTTTCTCTCTTCCTCTCCCTCTCTCTCAAAAAATTGTTTTTAGTTTTGTTATTACATGATGAAGATTTTTGACCTGCAGTAACCAAGTAATGAGTTGGAAATTTTTTCTAATATTTATTTTTATAATATGTTGTTTTTACTTCTGAATTTTCCTGTAGGAAATAATGATCGGTTTACAGTATCAGGCTGAGATCCCCCCTTATCTTGGAGAGTGCGATGATGATGAGCAAGGTAAGGCGGCTTTTGATTTTTGTAGCGTGTGGTAGGCCGTTACCCCTACATGTGCTTACTTCAGTGTCTGATTACAAACCAGTGTTGGTCCGACGCAGACGGACTTGAGCCGGGGCCATGGGGCTGGCTGAGGAACGCTGCATCAGCCTCAGCGAGGGCCTGGGCGGGGCAGCTGCTGGCCAATACTGCTGTGACTTGGAGACCCGGCAGGCTTGGCCACGTGACTGACCTTCCTCCCGGCGAGTGGCTTCGTCCTGTGGAGCTTCCTGAGCTCTTCCTCCTCCGGGTCAGGTTGCCCCCAAGGAGAGGGAGGCAGGACTGGCTGCCCCGGGCCATCAGCCCTGGCCGTTCTGGCCACCCTCCCCTAACCTGCCTGCGGGGTGCTGGGCAGATGTCCTGGGAGGCGGGCACGTGGGTCGACTTCCGTGCCCCAGCCTCCCCCACCGCCACATGCCACAGTCCTTGGCGCCGTGCTGTGCTCACACTGTCGTCGTAGATGCACACGTGGAGGTGGCCCCTCAGCCGGCACGCAGGAGCGGGCATGAACCCAGCGACCTCCTTTAGCCCCTGGAGCGCTGGGCCTTAGTGAAGTGAACACGGCTCTAAACCCTGTAGTGAAGGCGGCTGCTGGCGGGCCTGTCGTGGTCCCGTCCCGGAGCAGGCGGGAGGGAGAGGAAGTCCTGCCCCCGGGCGCGTGTGCGCACTGTTCCCTGGGCTAACGAGTTCCTTTCTCAGCGTCTGAAGATGGAGACCAGCTCCTTTGGCGTCCCGGGGTGGTTGCGGAGAGCAAAGTGCAGGAGTACCTTGTCGAGGCCGCGTTCAGAACTGGGAATGAGAAAGCGGTGGACAGGGTTTCGGCCGGAGCGCTCACCAGGGACAATGAGCAGGTGGGCACCTCGGCTTCTGTGGAAGCAGCAGGCAGCATCGTCTCGATGGGCTTCATCTAAGCAGTGTTTCTCTCAGGTCACCTGGGCATCCTCTGTGTTATTTTTATTTATTTATTTTGGATATCTCTCTTTCTGATAGGTTTTTTAAAAAACTGGGAATACACTGGTTAAAAAAGAAAATCTCAGACCTAGTGATGCTCTGTATTCATTTCTTTTTTGTCTTTTTTCTATACGTAACATACATATCTTACTTTAGGTGCGATTTTATGTTCTTTAATCACTTAATCTTAGTTTTGCTTGCCATTGAGAGTTCTTTAATACCTCATTCCTGATGACTGTTCCGTCCTGCAGCTGTAATATCACTTAGACATTATGGGACCTTTAGTTTATTCTTGAACTTCACTCTTCTGGCTGTGTGGGGTGGGTGGGTGTATTGCCCATTAAGGATCCTTTGAAAACTCTTGTTTTGCCCCTGATATCATTTGCCCCTCGTGCACCTTTTCCCACTGGCCCACGGGATCCTGATTAATGGGCACCCAGGGTGGGGGGACTTAGGCTTGTTCTCAAGTAACAGAGAAGTCAGTGACTGAACTTCAGAGTAGTTTTATCAGCTGTCAAAGGAACTCCCATTGGGTCTTTGTGCTAATATTCCATTAAAACTACAAAATAATTTTGGAAGAATTAATGCCTTTTTAAAGTATGTATGTAATCAATGCTATTACAAATGGGATCTCTGTTATATTTATAATTATACGTTGTCTATATAGAGGAATGTCAATTATTTTTAAATTTTTTCTTAAGCTGTTGAAACTAACGTGATGATTTCCAGTTGTTTCTCTCAGGTTTTCTAATCTCAGAGCTATTACTGCATTAGACGGTGCTCCTTTCTCACCATTACCGTGCCTCTGGTCCTGTTTTTTCTTAACTGCGTTGCCGTAGCTCTCGGGCCTGTAGTGATAGAGACGTGAGCCCTGCTTTTCTGGGAGGTCATGCACCTGAGGCAGGGGTGGGGAACCTGCTTTCGGCCAAGGGCCTTTGGAGATTTATGACATCATTCTGGGCCACACAGAATTATTAACGATCGGATGTTGAATTAACTCGCCCCTCATGCCTTGGCAGGGCCCGACCCAATGGGTTATCAGGCCTCCTAAGGCCCCAGGCCAGAGGCTTCCAGCCCTGCCCTTAGATTCACACTAGGAGTGCGACCAGCCTGGTCCGACACAGCTGTCTTCCTGATGGTGAGGTGTGACCACCTCCTGATAGCTGCCATAGTTTTTGTTATTTTTTAAAATTAGAAATGGGTACTAATTTATCATATGCTTTTTTAGCAGCTGTTGAGAGTGATAATTAATGCATTGATTATTAACCTATTGATATATTAATAGGCTTACCAATATTGAGCTATCCTTGCCTTTCTTGAAACTTACTTGGGAGGGTGGAGTATTATTTAACTTGTAATTGATTCCTGTCTGCTTCTGTTTAGTGTATTCATAATGTCCAACAGATTTAATAGTCAGAAGTTCTAATTTTAGCACGTTAAGCGCCCAGCCTGTTTTGAAAGTGACTGATAGGGTGCTTAACGTGTTAAAAAGTGACACTTCATGGTGGATGGAAATGACTGAGACCATTGTAAACCCATTTGTTGAAATGCCCACACTTCTAGTCTCTCTTATTAAACACTCAAAGGCAGGGAGTAGGGGTGACAAGAGGACTAGAGTTCTCATTTCCCAACTAGAAAAAGTAATATAGGAGAGGGGATTCCCCAGTTCAGAAGGCGAGGCAGTGACGAAAAGGTCAAGACCAATACTGGTAGATGCTTCTGTGCTGTGGTGCGAGAGCGAGCAAGGGCCTCCCGGGACACAGCGATCAGGCTGCAGGCTGAGCACACCTACCCCAGCGTCCTGAAGTGAGAGAGCCTCGGCCATTGTTGGCCAGGACTTTGAAGTACACCGGGGTTTTGGTTGCTTGTTGCTTGTGCTTGATGCTGCTAAGTATGAGTTTTCTGTTGTTCTCTTGACTTGTTTCCCTTTTTCCAGGCATTGTATGAGCTGCTCAAGTGTGACCATAACATCAAGGAGGCGGTCGAGAGGTATTGCCGCAGCGGGAAAGCATCTCAGGGTGAGAGCGCCGCGACCAGGGGGCAGGACGGCCTCTGGGTCAGAACGTGCACAGCTCCTCACAGTCTCCGCTGGCCTTCGCGGCAGATAACGTTTCCTTTCTCTGGCCTCTGTTCTTAGACTTAACAGAGATTACAGATTAGTCCCCGTCATGACATTTCACAATGCTTAGGTTTTGTTTTGCTTAATCAAAATGCATCATTTTGCCCTGACCAGTTTGACTCAGTGGACAGAGCGTCGGCCTGCGGACTGAAGGGTCCCAGGTTCGATTCCGGTCAAGGGCATGTACCTGGGTTGTGGGCACATCCCCAGTAGGGAGTGTGCAGGAGGCAGCTGATCGATGTTTCTCTCTCATCGATGTTTCTAACTTTGTATCCCTCTCCCTCCCTCTCTATAAAAAAAATCAATAAAATATATTAAATATTTTTTTAAAAAATGCATAATTTTGATTTCAGTGTTTTTGTCATGACGTGGATAGGTTGCAGGCCCCATAGCTTTCACTAAGTAGGTGAGTTGGTACTTACTGATATTATAGAAATGGCTGGAGCAATACCACAGCTGGAAACAGTGCATTGAAACTTGTAGGTCAGACAGTTTTGAGATGTTTCCTTGTAGAAGCTGCTGCTTTGAAAAACATCATTTTAAGTTTCCTCCTTCCTTCCAAGTATTTCTCCCCGGCCTGTGGACCACGCCTGGCGTGGGGCCTGGTCCCTGGGTCTCAGTGACACGGAGTGTCCTGCCCTGAGTGTCCGGTGGACGGCGCTCACGGTGCTGCTGTCCGCCGGGGAGCTGCGCGGGTCAGCCCTTTGGTTGGGAGCATGGACCGTTCCTTGTTTCCAGAGGGTAGCTCTGAGCACTGACTTTGAATAAATATGTCCTGATTTTATGGTCTAATTAAAGAACTTAGGGTTTTGATGTAAGACCAAAATAAGGCTTTCCCCCCCCAAAAAGTAAAATATTTTTTCTAATTAAAGAAAGTATATGTTCATTTTTTTAAAAAATCAGACCATTAGCATAAATTATAGAAAAATATTCAATTCTTATCCCACCATGCAGAAAAATAATCAGTGTTTATATTTTGGTATTCTAGACTTCTGATAAGATCTGTGGTATGCATACTTATTGTAATCCTAACTGAAATCTCAGACATATAGAACCTGTGTGTGTGTGTGTGTGTGTGTGTGTGAGGGCGGGGGGGAGTTTATGGCCTTTTATGGAAAACATACTGAAAGTCAGCGATTCATATGATGAAAGTGTTTTGAGTCTAATGAATTTTATTTTAACATTTCCTTAGAGGGAATGACCGCGTGGACAGAAGAAGAATGCCGGAGCTTTGAACATGCACTCATGCTCTTTGGAAAAGACTTTTATCTTATACAGAAGAACAAGGTTAGTTGGGCCCGTGCATGCAGAGTGGCTGTTGGTCCCTGTGATGATTGTTAGCAGCTGGCTGTCACCTGGGTGGAAACCGGCGTGGCCTGCTCACGCGTCCCTGCGCACGTTTCCAGTCCTGCTCTTAGCGTGGGCTTTGCTCCAGCTGCAGCCTGCTCACGGGGTGGCTGACCGGCCACCAGCGTCCTCTTGGCGCGAGTCGGCATCCTCCACTCAAGTGGGTTTACTGAAGTTTCAGGAAGTCTTACTCGTCCACCATTTTCTTGACTTTCATTTATTTCTAAACTGTTTAGAGGTTCGTGGCCTCCGAAACGTTTCTCTTTAGCAAGAAGTGCAGGTGCTGAAGAAACTGGTTCTAAAAGCAACTAAAACCCTGACGACACCCCCGCCCGCAGCACGTGGAGCCGCAGGAGCCCACTTCCTGGCGGTGCGGATGCCAACGGTGCCGCCACTTTGGGAGGCGGCTTGGCGATTTCTCACAAAACCAATGCAGTTGTCATACGACCGTCAGCTGTACTCACTGGTGTTTACCTAGAGCAGCTGAAAACACGTCCACACAAAGCTTTTACACGACTGCTTGTAGTGGCGTTATTCATAATTACCAAAACGAGGAAGCAATTGAGATGTCCTTGGAGGTGAATGGGTCACCTGTGGTACATTCATAGAAGGAATATTACTCAGTTCCAAGGAGAGACCAGCTCTCTAGCTACAAAAACTCACTGCGGCTCCTTAAATTATATTCCTCAGTCAAAGGATTCAGTCTGGAAAGGCTGCAGACGGCGATTTCAACGACTGTCTGATTCTGGGAAGGGCAGCTCTGTGGACAGAGGCAGATTGTTAGTGGTTCCAGGGTTAGTGAGGAGGAGGGATGACGTTGAGCACAGAGGATGCTGGGGCAGGAAACTGCTCGGCGTGACTCTGCGATGGTGGACCGTGTCGTCATGCCTTTGTCCGGCACCAGGAGTGAACCCAATGTAATGGATGGGCTTTGGGTGATGAACAAAGTGTTTTCTTCAGAAGTGTGTGTGTGAGAGAGTGAGTGTCCTCTGATGGTGTGGGAGAGTTTAGTCTCACTAGGGTTTGCTTTGTTTATTATCTCCACCCTAAAGGAACATAGGATTCTGAAGTATTTGGATAGGTAGGTCCAGATTTTTTTTAAGTTTTTTTGTTTGAGGATATTTTTCCATTGATTTTAGGGAGAGAGGGAAAGACAGAGAGAAACATGGATGTGAGAGAAACACATCGATTGGTTGCCTCCTGTATGGGCCGTGGTCAGAGCCTGGGCCGGGGAGGTCTATGCTCTTGACCAGGATCAAAACCGGACTCTGGTCCGCAGGCTGACGCTCTATCCACTGAGCCAGACTGGCCAGGGCAGTGTTGATACATTTTTATTGATTGAAGTCCCTAGTTTACACGTGGGCTCACTCTCTGTGCTGGACATTCATTCTGTGGGTTTGGACAGATATGTAATGGTGTGTATCCACCACTGTAGTGTCACACAGAGCAGGTCCACTGCCCTGATACCCTCCGTGCTCTGCCTGCTGTCCTCCCCACTAACCCCTGAAACCACTCACCTCTCGCTCTTCGACCGTTTTCCTTTTCCAGAAGGTCGTGGAGCTGGAATCAGACGCCATGCAATGCTGTCTTTTCAGACTGACGTGTGTGACTTAGCAACAAGTGTTCAAGGTTCCTCCGTGTCTCTTCATGACGTGAAAGATCATTTCTTTTTTTAAAAGAATATGTTTGTATTGATTTCAGAGAGGAAGGGTGAGGGAGAGATAGAAACATCAGTGATGAGAGAGAAGCATTGATTGGCTGCCTCCTGCACGACCACACTAGGGATCCAGCCCACAACCCAGGCATGTGCCCCGACTGGGAATCAAACCTCCTGATTCATAGGCCAGCACTCAACCACTGAGCCACACCGGCCGAGCAGTGCATTTCTCTTGTCATATTTCTTTTACTCCATCTGTGGATGACCCAGCTTGTTGACCTGTCACCGGTCAGAGCCGTCGTGGTCACGTGTAGGCTTTGACGGTGGTGAGTAAAGGCCTGTGACAGCTGTGTGGGGGCTCTCCTTGGACAGGAGCACTCACCTCCTTCGCTGGCTTGGGGTCACCAATGGGTGTGATGTTTGGTTTTGCAAGAAACTGTCTTCCCAGTGGCTGCAGCGTTGTGCATGCCCACCAGCAAGGGATGCGTGTTGCCCTGGTCACATCCTGGCCGGCATGTGGTGTGTGTGAGTTATGGCCGTGCTGATGGCGGGCGGTGGGCCTTGTGTTCACTCCCTCTCCCTGAGGGCCTGTCGCGAATTGCTGTTCACCTGCACATCTGTGGGGCTGGGCTGGTCTCTAGCCCGTTCTTTTTTTTAAATATGTTTTTATTGATATCAGAGGAAGGGAGGAGAGAGAGAGAGAGAAACATCAATAATGAGAGAGAATCATTCATCGGCCGCCTCCTGCATGCCCCCTACTGGGGATCGAGCCTGCACCCCGGGCCTGTGGCCTTGACTGGAATCGAACCCAGGACCCTTCAGTCCTCAGGCCGATGCTCTATCCACTGAGCCAAACCAGCTAGGGCGAGGAGTCTCTATTTTCTACCAAGACTTTAGTGATTTTTGTTGAAAGGTATACTTTATCTGTGGTTTAAAGAGCTTGTCCCTATATTATCATCTTCAACCGTATCATGCTCACTAATCAGGGTCTTGGGCACCAGGTCAGCAGTGGAGCTGTGTCTGCAGGTCTGAGCCCCTCCCTGCACTGATCATAGGCGCCTGTTCTGATGGGGAGCCAAGAGCCAGACGCGTGCGGAGGGAGCCCCACTTTTAGACAGAAAATCCCCTAAATTCCAGATGCAGTAGGTGCTGGTCCCATCTCCAAGGGGATCCCAAATCTCCTTAGGGTCATGGAACCCTTTGGTGGTATGAGGAGGCTGCAGTCCTTGCCCGAAAGGGGGGCGTGTGTGTGATGTCAGGAATTCATGGCTTCCCGGACACCCACTCATGGCTGGCCCTCGGGTCAGGGACCTGCTGCAGCCAGAGTCAGCGAGGGCAGCGCGGAGAAGTCAAGGGCCGGCGTGTGCGGCTCCATGGCGGGCGGGTGGGTGGTGGATGCACATTTACTGTAAACTGGTACGGTTTGGTTTAAATAAAAACAAGCCTCGGGCTTTGGGAGGCGGCCTCGTTACTAAGTAGTGTACGTGTGAAGGCACTTCACTAAGCACGTTTTCGGGATTTCATTGGGAGGATGGAAAGTGTCCCGTGGACTGAAGTTGCTGGTGTAGAAAAGAGGTAAAAAGAAAAGAGTGTTGGGTCTGTTTTTAAAAACCTGCCTCCGGCAGGTGAAGACCAGAACGGTGGCGGAATGTGTGGCGTTCTACTACATGTGGAAGAAGTCTGAGCGCTACGACTACTTCGCGCAGCAGACGCGGTTCGGGAAGAAGCGCTACAACCACCACCCCGGAGTGACCGACTACATGGACCGCCTGGTGGACGAGACGGAAGCTCTGGGGGGGACGGTCAGTTCTCCCGGCGTAACCGCCGCCCGCCCGGACCCCGTTCCTGACCCGCAGCTGAACATCCTCAGCTCCTTCACCGCAGGGGACTTGACAGGTAAAGCGGCCCCTGCTGCTCAGCTCTGGGCCTGGAGTCCTCTCCTGCCCGTCATCGGACCACACACTTAACCCTTTCCTTTCCTTCCTTTCCAGCCTTGACCGGCAGTGCAGCGACCCCCGGGGCTGTGAGCTGCGTGGAGGAGGGCTTCCCTCCCGTGGGCAGCATGCCCCGCGGCCCCGTGACTCCCGTGCCTGTGGTGACGGAGGAGCTGCTCGCCCTGCCCAGCAACGGGGAGAGCGACTGCTTTAACCTGTTTGAGACTGGGTTTTACCCCTCGGAGCTGAACCCCTTGACCCTGTGCAGTGAGGAGTCCGAAAGGCCAGCAAAGAGATTGAAAATGGGCCTCGCTGTTCCTGAACCCTTTATGAGTGAGGTTTCTGTGAATAACCTGGGGGTGGACTTTGAAAGCCACACACATCACATCGCCAGTGCCAAAATGGCCGTGTCCGTGGCTGACTTTGGCAGCCTGTCTACCAGCGAGGCCAATGGCTTCATCAGTGCCCACGCCCTGCACCAGCACGCCGCCCTCCACTCCGAGTGACCGGCGGCGGCCTGCAGCCCAGTGAGTGCGAGGACACGTTGGGCTGGCTTAGTCTTTCACTGGAAGCTTGAACGTTTTCACTATGACATCAGTGATGTCAGCATGTATAGAACTCTATCTTGATTTATCAAGAGTATTTTCATTTCTCAATCCATAAATGTGGAAAACCATGAGCAGCAGGGCTGGGAACGAAGATTGGACTCCAGTGCAGCTTTAAGCTCTGCTCTCTCCCTCACCTCCCAGACCTCTCCACTCCCCTCTGTTCCAGTCTCTTACGCTCCCACGTTTAAAACCTGTAGACAGGCCACCAGCTCAAAACCAGCACATGTTCAGGACCGAATGGAGTGGCTTCTCGTTTAAGTTCCTTTTGCCGTAACGGATGCAGTGGAATAAGTGTTTACAGGTGCCGACCCTGATCCCTGCTAAATGTAGCATTTTTGGTTTTCTTAATTAAGCAAAAGCAGGGGTAGGTTTCTTAAAACTGCACAGACATGCAAGGGTTTTTGAAAATGGAAACTTCTCTCATGTTATTCAGCTAGAGCACTTCCGTTTACAAACAGCACGTCCGCCTCTGGGAGCTGGCGAGGGGCTGTGCGCAGAGCGCAGACGCTCGGATGTTTCTGGATTCTCGGCCGGGGCACCTTCCGCAGAATGGCTTGTTTTACTGTCGAGAGATTTATGAACTTCATTGATTGCTACAGATCGGGCGTGTGAAGATGTATCCAGATGGGCTTTGTCCACCCTGGTCCAGGTTGTGATTGGAAAAGCCACACCGGCCACCGATGGCGGAGTCTGTCCCGGGGCAGCGGCCTGGCGGGCAGGCTCCTGTCTACATTGCGG